GAAGATGCTTTAATTAATTTGTTTATCAAGTAATGCCCGCATGAGGTGTAGTTCTTCATCAAGTTAATTCCCAAAATGGTCCTTCGATTATGCCCTTTTTTCAAATTGGTTTCTTGACTTTTAATTGCACCAAATAGTTATGTAAATATGCACCATCAATGTTAGGAAATGTACAACAAAAAACGCACAAATTAGGTACACATCATCAAATACGCACCATTAGGTATGAATAAAAGCACCACACAGTGTTCAGAAATGCACAATTAGGGGTTGAGAGTTATATGGTGCATTTTTTTGGGTGTGTTGTCCATTTTTTGAGTTAATACCTCCAATGGTCCTCCGAGTATTAGCCATATATCAGCTGTGGTCATCCGACTTTTAAACGACCACGAAATGTCCTTCAAGTTTTAAAAAATTACCACCCGTGATCCTCTGTTATATTTTCTGTCAAATAGGTGTTAAGTTCGAGGGCAAGCTTGTCATTTCCCATGAGTTTTTTTTTTTTTTTTTAAACAAAACTAAGATTTCTTGACCTGGTGTATGAGCACTAACAGTGCGCAAGACCTGATTCTCCTGGGCAGTGGCTTGACCTGTAGATTTATAATTTTTATACTGTAGATTCATAAAATTTATACTTTAGATTCATAATTTCTAAACTGTAGATTCATAATTTAAATACAATAGATTCATAATTTCTATACGGTAGATTCATAATTTCTATACTGCAGATTCATAATATCTGTATTCTAGATTCATAATTTTCGTACTGTAAATAATTTATAAACTGTATAATTATCAATTATGAACATATAGTTCTCTGATTTGTGAAAACAGAGTTCAACAATTGGAATCTAAATGATAAATTTTATGAATCTACAGTATAGAAATTATGGATCTATAGTATAGAAATTATGAATCTACAATATAGAATTTATGGATATGGAACCGTGCCCACCTTGCAAGGTGGGCACATGCTCACATCATAATTTGCCACTTCTTGATTAATGTTCAAGGGTCTATTTGACCATTTTCCCTTATTATTATTATAACATGACAATAATACTTATACTCCGTAATTTTTAATGCAGGTATTATGATTATGATAGTAATAATAAGAGTAAATACCAGCCAAGGTCCCTCGAGTTTAGTAGTTTCACCACCTATAATCCCCAACTTCTGTAATTACCATCCGTGGTCCTCCGAGTTGCAAAAACTAACCTGCTACCATCCTTCAGTTAGTTCCTATCGTCTAAGCCGTCAAAAGTAGGGACAGAAATGTCATTTCGCAAAGCTAACGCAGAGTCCACACTCCCATTGCCCATCTGCAACATGTCCTCATCCAAACTCACATCACTGATCTCGACACCTTTCTTCTCCTTGAACTCATCCAGAAATTTACCAAACTCTTCTTTAGACACCCAATTCTTGGTTTCCATTTCGATCACCAGCTTCTTCAAATTCTCACTCCACCCATCCAATTCCTTAAATTTTGCATCCAATTCTGCACCTTTTCCTCAAGCTTCTCACTAAATTCATTTCTCACGGTTTTAATTTCACTCTCAATCTTTTTGTCGATGACCTCTACTTGGACTTGCATCATCTTAGTAGTTTTCTTCAAAAAATTCTCCGAACCATCTGAATTAAACCTAATATGATTAACAAAAGGTAGAAATTCTTAATGAATATACTAACAACCGTGAGCCAGCGCGGTTTCTCGGGCTTTGAAGATTTATCGTGGTCCCCGCACGGCGAGACGAAGGCACGGCGCCGTTTGAGTTGGGCAAGGGCTTCCTGACAACTTGAATTGGATCTCTAGTTTCTGTTCGGATTGAATGTTGACTTAGATCTTTGATAGCAGCGTCGACTGCGGCGTGTTTATCGTTGCCTGTGGATGGAGACGCAACGGCGGCTACAACGGCCGCTGAGTTAGATTTGGCAATGTCCAAAGCGGCGGGCTGCCTTTTCTCGACGACGGTTCAGTGGCAGGTGGCGATGGAGGACGAATTGGCGGTGATGGACATTGTGGAAGCAGGCATTGATTAAATCCTTTCTAAAGAAACTTTTTCTTGAAAAAATTCCTAAAATTAACTTCGCAATAATTATTGAGAAATAAAAAAAAAAAACCTAAGCTATGACAAGAAGAAGAAGAATGAGAAGGCAAAATCGAATTGGGAAGGAGCAACGACGAACGTCGACCTTTGTTTCTTTCCGGCGAATAGTTGACGCGAGGCAAGCAGATCCGATGGCGGTTGACGGTGGTCGTGGCTAAGCAGTGGCTGCCGGCGTGGTGGGGGGTGTTTCTGGCGAGATTCTCGGCGTGACGGCAGTGAGTTGGCTTTGAGCGACAGTAAACAAGAATTATATATGCCAAATGACATTTTTACTCCCACTTTTGACGGCTTAAATGGCAGAAACTAACGAAAGGATGGTAGCAGATCAATTTTCACAACTCGGAAGACTACAGATGATAATTACGGAAGTTAGGGACTATAGATGGTGAAATCACTAAACTCGAGGGATCTTAGTTGGTATTTACTTATAATAATAACTAGTAACTTACCCGTGTGATGCACGGTAAATAAATTGTAAAGTATTTAATTTATACTTGATATATTATAAATTAATTAATATAGTTAAGCATATATGTTATATTTAAAGATATATAAACATATATATAATTAAAGAACTCCATCGTCATTGTCAGCCCTACAAACAGAATCACAATTAAGATATGTCCTACTCTTAGCTCCGTGCATGTTATTGATGTAGTCATTAACTGCGTTCACAACATCAAGTATTGGTGTCAGAATTGTCCGACTTTCAAGAAAGCTATTATCACACAAACCTGAGAGTAGGATAGAATTTATAAAAGAATACACTTAGCTGCATATTCGATATTAAATTTTTCTAACCTATACGTTGTTATTATCTTCCTTTAACTGTATCGCCTTCATAATTTCGTGTCTCATATGTCCCACAAAGTATAGAATTCTCATTTCTGTTACAAATATTCGTATTAACAACATTTAGATATAAAATAATAATAATGTAATTAGATTTTATATAAGCTTTGCAAATAATATATTACATAAAATAAATGAATACTAACCGTTAATTAACACACTCAAAGAAGTCGATAGCAATCTTTGAAATACACTGCACTCTCATAACGGACTTTATCCACTATTTTTGAGTATAAAAGGATAATTTTCTAAAAAATATCAAAAAAAAAAAATTGTACTATAATAGTTAAACTTTAATTTTACTCAATGACGTGTTTTCTCCTAACTTAAAAAATGTTTTAATTTACATTGATTGTTTAATATGTAAATAAATAATATTAAAACTAAAGAGAATTATTAATAATTATTTTATTTTATTCATAATATTACACCTATAATAATTATTTTACAATATAATATGTAATTACAGGGTCGCGTTCAGGTGCGAATAGGTGCCCAAGAGAGAAATGCGCGCACCACGTGTCAGCATTCATTGATTGGATGCACCTACTTTCACCTACAAGTGCACTTACTTTCGTATGCAAGTGCATGTAGTTTTTGCCTACATTCATTGATTAGGTGCACCTACTTTCACCTACAAGTGCACCTACTTTCGCCTGCAAGTGCATGTAATTTTGCCTTGTTAACATTCATTGATCTGAGTTCGTTCTGTTTGGCATCGTTTTTGTTGTTGCGGGGAGTTCAGCGGGTAGTAGTACCTGTGAAAACCACCCGCAAACATTCATGCACATAGGTGCAACTACTTATAACTATAGGTTGACTTAGTATTTATGCTCAGTGTAAATTTGACTTACACTTATAATACATTTTACATGCACTTGTAATACATTTTACTTGTACTTAGATGATCAATTATTTACGAAAATGTCACCGTATTTTTAAAAAAAATCAGTGTTTCTCATCCATTAAATCTGAACACGTGGACGGATATCAGGCATTCGCATATTCGCACCTGGACGCTCCTTTCGCACCAGAGTGTAATTCTATAATTACATTTATGATTATAATATAACTATATAATTCAATTAAGATAATATTATACATATATTTGAATGGTTTCTTTTTTTTTTTTTAAACCATGGTTTTTTTTTTTAAGCCGAACAAATCGAAACTGAAAAAAACCGAACCACCCACCCCTATATTAATATTTGTAAAAAAATGTATGATAAATTAGTCGTTTATTTTTAGTTGGGCCTGCAAAATGACCACAGCCTAAATCAACGGCAAATTATACCGTGCACCAGGGCGCACAGTGCATTTTGCACCCTGGTCCAAAACGACGCCGTTTTGACTTTTTCGCGTGTTTGCTGTTAAAAAAACAATCACGTTTCGAATGTACAAAATTGTATAATAGAAAACACAGAATTTTATATCTGAAAACACATAATTTTATACTGAAAACACATAATTTTATATTTGAAAACACATAATTTTTATAACTGAAAATCCCCATGTTTCGAATGTATAGAATTATATAATAGGAAACACATAATTTTATACATGAAAACACATAATTTTATACATGAAAACACATAACTTTATACCTGAAAACACAGAGTTTTATAATTGAAAATTCTCATGTTTCGAATATACAAAATTATATAATAGAAAACACATAATTTTATACTTGAAAACACATAATGTTTTTTAAAAAATATAAAAATCTCTTGTTTCAAATGTACAGAATTTTATATTAGAAAACACATAATTTTATAACAGAATACAAAAGGATTTCGTTTTGGAACAGGGTGAATCAATTGTGAAGCACCATTATTCGGGAGAATCTTTACCTCTCATTGTTATTGTGTCGATCATGGTCCATACAATGTTATATGGATCATAACAAAAAATACATTTTTAATATAATAAATGTACATTATTTTTATACTGAATGTACATTATTTTTGTACTGAATATATATTATTTTACAGTAGACAAAATATATTGGTCCATACAATAATGATTGGATTCAAAAGATCAATTGTGAAGCTGGTGAAAGAAGAATTCGTTTAGTAGCAGAGCTCCATAGAAACACCGTTGCGACTCGCGGCGAGCTCTCAATTCCAGAGCATAACCTGAAATCTGCTCAGCCGAGCCCTAACATCAATTGAAAGATTCACAGCGCCAAAGAAGTAAGATTATTTTACTAGAGAATATGAATATGAATTATGATTTACGAAGCAGGTTATTTTCTCTGTTTTTGTTTGTCTTTTTGTCCATTTCAATATCAATAAGAATATACTGCTTTTTTGCTGAATACAAATTGAATCCCATATATTATCATAGTGGTAAACAAGTATTTTTTTGAGTCATGGACCCGGTGTGCACTGAGTAAATCACGCCTTGTGACCCTAACTGTGAAGAGTTAAACCAGCCTAGATTGTCCATAACATTCAAACCAAAAATGCCAATAGGTCGCTCCTGCTGGGAGTTGAACTTGTAACATTGTGGTTACTAAGTCAATAACCTGACCGGCTTGGTTGGGGTAAGCAAGTTTAAGAAGGTGAATGGTTGAAAGATTGTGAACATCTGGGGTGAAACTAATTGAAGATGGAGTGTCACTTTGTGTCTAAAACTGTGATGACTACTTGTCTTAGCTCTGTATATCAAAAGGATGGAAAATGCACACATGATACCTTCAAGCATTGGGGGGACATAGATAGCACCATCTATTCTCCCCAAGTTGCTTAAGCTAGGGTTTATAATGCTTTTGTAATCCCATGTGTGTAAATACTCGCTGCTGTACTTTCTCTGCTTTCTTTCAAGGTATATAATCTCTAATCAGCATTAAATGAGCTTATTCATTTGTTTTTCTATTTATCATTTTATGTGGGCACAATCATATATAGGACTGTTGAAAGAGGTAGGAGAACCTTAGAAGTTATTTAAATTGAAATCACTGTGGAGGGTTAAGGAAGCTAAGCAATTAAATAGCATAATATCTTTTTGGGTGACGAAGGAAACCCGCAGCCACTATCCGAGGGTGTGCACTGGGTAAACCCCGCTTTGTGACCCTAGTTGCCATTGCGAATGGACCACAAGGAGTTAAACTAGTCTAGGTTGCCCATACTTGACCGGCTCAAACCAAGAAGGCCAATAGGCCACTCTCGCTGGGAGTCAAGCTTGTAATCTTGTGGTTACCAAGTCAAAAGTCTGAGTAACTTGGCTGGGGTTGCCCCCAAATAGCTTATTATCTTAAGAGTAGGTTCCCCGGCTTGTTGTATTTTTTTTTCTTTTTTTAATATTGCATTGGTATCTCCACCCTGTGGGACTAGACTAATCCAGTTGAGCCTCGATAGAGCCTCATTTGGGAGCCTTCTTGTGCTTTCATTAAACAATGATTATACCCTGCAGTAGAACTTTTGTGTCACGTGTTATTTTCAACTCCAATTGTGCACACTTGTTGCCTAGGCGCTAGGCGGTCGGCCTCCTAGGCGTCCTAGGCGCCCTAGGCGGTCCCCAGGCGCCTAGAGTGCGCCTAACGATTTTTTCAACATTGATCTTGATCTTAATCAAACTGCAAATACTTGAGAAGCGGTAATGTATTTTGGTGGAAAAGTTGCAGTGCGCCCGTGTGCTAATTTGGAGACTACAATCTTGAAAGATGGATTCTGAATTGGTAGTACACAATGGTGGGTGCCATTGCAAAAGAGTGAGATGGCGAGTGCAAGCAGCATCGAGTGTTGTTGCCTGGGCATGTAACTGTTCCGACTGCTCCATGAGAGGGAACACTCACTTCATTGTTCCTTCTGAAAAGTTTGAGCTTCTTGGAGATTCTGAGCAGTTCCTTACAACCTATACATTTGGTACTCACACCGCAAAACATACTTTCTGCAAAGTTTGTGGCATTACATCCTTCTACATTCCACGCTCAAATCCAGATGGAAGGGCAGTTACATTCAGGTGTGTAGATCCCGGTACCCTATCCCATGTCGAGATCAAACATTTTAATGGAAATAATTGGGAGAACTCGTACAAAGAAACCGGCATTGCTTCATGCTCTAAAGTGAGACAAGGTTCGTAGATGATGATACCCTCCTGCAGGTAGATGCAACTTCATAGCTCACTTTTATCATGTAACCATATTCTGGCAAATTATGTTTTCTTTCTTGCAAACTTGCCAATGATTTTCCTTGTATTACAGTTTGTCTTAATGTTCGTGTCATTATAGTACTCAATGTCGTTATAGGTCATTTGGTGAGCCTTGGCCTTCCATAATTAAGATTAAGGTTGTGTTTAGTTAGAGATTTTTGTATCCTACTATAGAATTTGATACTCATTACCATGTTTGTTTGTCTACTTTTACTATTCTATTATTAGATATAAATCCGTTAATAATTATAAAACTCATTACCATTATCATCTCCTACTTTTGAATAATGAAATAAAAAATTGAAGAATAAAAAAATAATAAAAAATCATTGTCTATGTATTAAATATTAAACTTTAATTTATATATGTATGTGTATATATATATGTATAATATATTTTTATATATTTATTTATTTTGATTCAATTCCTGCTCCCTACCAAATAATATTCTACCTAAACTCATTATCATTACGAAGTATTTGATTCTAATTACTATTCTGATTTCAATATTTGAATCAAACGCCCTTAAATCTGGTGCTTGATCAATCAGGATAAAACATAAAAATATGAAATTAGCCTATAAATAAATAAATATTGAACAAAAGCAACTTCAATAAAATAAAAAATAAAAATGAAATGAGCCACAATATTTGAGCTATAAATTTAAAATGGTGAATTGTGGACTAAAGAAGCACCCAAAATAATCAGAGCAGAGGGAGTACAGAGACCCAGTTCTACTTGGGAAGAATGTTGTTTTAAGTGTCCTAATTTGTCTGAGTTTCACCGAATGCTATTTGAACAAGATATATATTACATTGCTACTCTGTCAATCACACTTCATGGCTTTGGTGATGAAAGCTCTAGTCATCACTATTATGAGGTAAGCCAAAACCGTAACAACAATACCCAGTAGCAGAAGAAAGCGATCATAAGAAGCACCCTGGACTGTGTAAGCTCGAAGTCTTATCATGTCCCAATTACTCTCCGTCCAAACTGGGTCAGGATCAGGTTCAGTGGAGTTGGAAGGTAAAACCATCCAAGTATCAGACTCGTACTTCAATCTCGTTGAATATGCTGGTACGTACCTAAAATCACGAATTTCCAGTTCAATAAATCGTTAAAAAGCTATACTTCAATGCAAATAGTGAGACAAAACATTTCTCCAGGAATGCCAGAATTATGTAGTCTAGAGTAATACTTGCTTCAACTCAGAATTTAATAATACCTTGTAGTAGAGATGACACATATGCCCTTCCCATCTGTTTCTGTTTGGATGCATGCTTCCCCATCCCTTCCACAATCTTTTGGGCAAGCAGAACTGGTATTTGTAGACCGGATAGATGTTTTTTCTGCCAAAAAGTTCCATATAAACCGAGATACATCCCCCACATTGCCAAGATAAGGCACAGAGGAAGGTTCCCCAAGGATAACACCTACATAATGACTCGGGCAACTCATAGAGGGAGCAATATAGCTTTTCACCAATCCACATGATAAGCCTGGTTCACAACTTAAAAGACAACCGAGAAGTTCTTCAACCAAGGAGGAATTTGCATTAATAGTGGTCAGAAGTGAAGCATTAACTTCCTTTTTATCACTGGCAAGGATGTAGAGACTTCGGGCAACAAGGGAAGCAGCTGCCACTATGGCTGAAGAGTTAACATTAGCTGCTAACATGAAAGTAAAACATTGAATGAGAAAACAATGCATGTTTAACAAAAGATGGACTAGTGAGAATATGATCAGATGAACTCACATTGATCATCAAGGTGACTGTGATAGAATTTATTCCTGTATGCGTCATCAAAATCTTCCAAAACAATGCCAGAAGTTTGTGGATTCTGTTAGAAAGGGATTAAAAGTCAAAATCTATTTTCATAATCTATTAGTTTAAACGATGGACAACATTTCAGACAATTTTCGCAGTCTTCTCGACTCTTGAGCCAGTTAGGGCACAACAACAAAAATAAAGATTCAGATTGGAGGGCCAGATTCATATTTAGGTACCATAGAAGCAACAAACAATAATCTGCCTTCCAGAGTGAAACATAAAAGGAGTAAATCAGAGACCAGAATGCAATGCATATTTTGCTCCAACCTTTCTCACAAATGCCATTAATGAAGATGGAGGTAACCCAGGGTTCGATTTCTTTGCCTTTGAGATCTTAATGTTTTGCGTCTTCAGTGAATCTTGAGCATGAAACAAAGCATTCAAAGTTTCATTTGTGTAAGCACCCTGCGGAAAAGGACAACATAAATCTCTATATGAACAAACACATTATGATATCTGAGCTGCATGTGTGATGTATACTAATCATATACATTTTACATCAGCCATACACATGCAGTATGCTGTTCACATTATCAATAAGTTGCATTAAGGCTCTTATTTCACCATTTCCTTAATTCTACAGATGTAAGCACACATTTTGGTATCAAATTGAGGCATGTTCTATTCATGAAAACTCAAAAAGGAAATCAAATATTTGACAGTACAAGTAGAGAGATACAAACAAGATAGTAGGGGAATGGTAATAATATTATCTGTAAAGTTTCAAACACAAGAAACATCTTACCCCTGTAGTATGAGCAAAGAATGTCGTAACATCCTGAGCAGTACTCTTCCCAACTGACCCAATTTCCAGTACCTACAAATTATTTCACAATATAAGTTATCCTATAATCATATATACTCTAACAAATGTCTCCTTTCACCTTCTATAACACATGATCATTTCATTCAGAAATATACTGTATATTGTAATACCTTCGTAATTTAATAAAGGGTCACTATAGTGATTAGTGGACAATAGAAGGGAGCGTTACAACATTCAAAGTCCTCTTATGTATTTGACAGAGATAAGTTTCCATAAATTAAAGTTCACTATGAGAAACTGTATAGTTGATGGAACATAATGTAAATCTTGATGAGGGTAACAGACTTTCAATCCCTCTCCCACAATGATGATGAATTTAGCATACACAGAAAGCCTTAGCATTTAAAAAAAAAAAAGTATATGTTTGATAGTTATGTAGGTAAAAGGAACTACAGAATTGGTTTTGTAGTTTAACCACTCAAGTAGTGGAAGACTGGCAGGAGCTTCTAGATGATGCACAATATAAATGCTTGATTTTTACAAGCTGAGAAGTACCGTCTCAATCTTTGAAAAGTCAAGACCCCTAACAGCATCTGAATGTTGATCAAGTTCAAGAAGAAACCTCCTGCTACCAAGGTATCCCCAGGATTCTCCTGTGAAAACCACAAATACAAGCTGCAGTAGAGCAAATTGCAGCAAAAATATAAGCAAAGCAAACCAGAAGTTGTAGAATGGATAAGGTTGCAACAGATAAATAATGGACCTGACTAGAAAACAATAAATTTTGCATGATAAGCAGCATAAGAAACATTATTGAGACAATCAAAGACGGAGTATTTCTTTTTCTTTTTTGGTTCAATAGGATGAGAGTGCTACATTACAACAATCTCTCATACATCTTTCAATTGCTAATACATTAATGCATATGCAATCACTAACAGTCAACAACAACCCAAATACAAAGTAAATACCCTTAAATACCTCCACACAGGCAAATGTGCCTGGTGGACAGAGATCATTAGTACACATGGAATAGTTGTAATGATTAAAATAAGTAGGTCCCTTTTCTGCTAAGATTAGAGAAGGTACAAATCCACAAACAGAAGTGAAATATGAAACAAATTGCATCATTTAATAATAGGCATGCACTCAAATAGTTCAATACCCACCTGTTTAATGAAGTTCCTTGAGTAATCAACACGTGAAAGAGCATCTACTGCAGCCAAGAGTGAGATTAATCCCTAGCAAGTGATTTATAAGCAATTTTCTATTTAGGAAGAAATGATCATAAGAAATCAGATTTCAGAAATTAAAAACTAAACTTCTATTGTTCATTGCAACAATAATATAACAATCCATTAAAAAAAAAAAAAAAAAGAACCTACAGATATGGGCGAATCTGCACCAATACTTCTGTCACGAAAAAAAGATGAAGAATCCATAGAAGCCACTGCTAATATAACAGGCCTTGACTTTTCTGAAGACAAGTTAATTGGTGGAAGTGCTGACCAGACACTGCCCTTCAAAGTGGGGAGTACATTAGGTTAGAATTCAAGTAAAAATATCTTTAAAATTTCCAAGCATGAGTTACATAATCAAAGGAGAATAAGAACCTTAGCAAATCTAGTTCTCTGGTCATAGTGCACCTAACTATTATGAAGCAAAGGGAGCATTAAAAAAATTCATTGCATGTGCAGCACACTAGCATAGTGGACAGTACTTAACAACTGAATGCTATGGACGATGGATATGAAGACTGGTATGCATAATTTGATTCCCTTTAAAGACAACACAACAAAATTGTCCACAAGGAGCAAGGCCAAAATCTAAATCATAATTTCGTTGTAGCTTAAAACAAATGACAAATATTATTAATTAAATTAAATTAAATAATAAATACAGCATAAACATACTTGAGAAGCATTAAATGAAGCAACAAAAAAGGGCAAAAAATATTCGCCTGAATTCTGATAATCCTTATACGTGCTTTACTTGGCTCTATTTTCATTTATCTGATAAACCTCATATGTTCATGACTAATCAAACTTTTTAAAGCGAAAAAGCGCACCAAAGCAATGAGCTTGGGCTTTGCTTTGAAGCGAAAGCGCAAAGCGAAGCGTCGCTTTTTCACATAAAGAGACGCTTATTAAAAAATTTAATATATACTCAAAATACTCAAATACTAATGCAAAATAACATAAATACAAAATAATGTCATTCAAGTTATTTAGTTATTAAAATATCACATATTCAACCATCAATAATCAATAATTCAATAATAAAGGCATAAATCTTACTTGAATTAAATGTAAATTTAAATTTTAGATTTTAATTATAGAAATTTCAAAACATAATTTAATACCAAAAAAAAAAAAAAAAATGAAAAAACAGAAGCACAAAACGTGTACTGCGAAGTGTAAACAATCACTGCCAAGTGTCCAACCAAGACTCCAACTCTATTCCTATTTAACATTTTAACTTCAGACCAGTCGTCTTCTTCAAGTCTTCAACAACAGGGTGAGAAGCATGGGCGATTTACCTCGGGATTCTGAGTTCAGCTATCAGGGAGGATGTGGTGGCGAGGCGGCAGCGAAGCGGCAACGATGA